AGTTGAGCCCTCTCTTCGGCTGATACATACTTGGGCGCTACAATGAAAGTTGCGTACTTTGATAGATGGTTTACCACGCTGATGATAGTGCCAAAATCTTCAATTTTTGACAATCCAACAATGTAGTCCATCAATACACTCTCGAATGGTCTAGTTGGCACGAAAATGGGCTTAAGCAAGCCTGCCTTTTCTGATGATCTGTCTTATATTGCTAACATATAAGACATGTTTTCACATAAGTTTCAATGTCATTCCGCATTTGGGGCTAGTAGTACCCACATTGTAGTAGTACAAAAGTGCGTTCCTCTCTAGGATGACCTGCCCAATTCGTGTCATGGCATTCCGTAATTAGTGATTTCCTCAAATCTTTTGACCTTAGGAACATAAAGGCGGTCTCCCTTAGTTTTCACTAGGCCCCCATCGAGTCAGAATCGACGAATTTTGCCCTGTTTGATGAGGTCGATCAAATATTGAGTAGCCGGGTCCTTATCTAAAAGTGCCTGAATTTGGTTCCTTGTGTTTGTGGTAACCGTGCTCCCTGAAAGAGCAACCATAGAGCAAATAGTGGCCAAGTCGACCCGACGACTAAGAGCATCGGCAACATGATTACTAGATCCGGGATGATACTCTAGCATAAAATTGAACTCTGAAAGAAGTTCCTGCCAACGAGCCTGTTTGCTTGATAGTTTCGGATGGGACATGAAGTGACTAATCGCAGTGTTATCTTCTTCACAATAAATGGAGACCCAAACAAATAGTAACGACATTTTGCTTGATTCATATTTCGGCTCTCATACTCTATCGGATGTCTTTCTTGCATAAGGACTCCACCAAGTGCAAATTCTAAAGTATCGGTATGCACTTCGAATGGTTTAGTCATATCCGGTAAGGCTAACAACGGGTTTGTCCACATAGATTTCTTCAACTTTTTGAAAGCATTTTGGCATTGGGATAACCAATCCCAATCCTTATCCTTCTTTGTCAATTCGGTAAGTGGAAATGTAATTTTTGAGTACCATTTCATAAATCTTCGATAGTAATTGCATAGCCCGAGAAATGAACGCACATCGTGGACGTTCTTTGGTGGTTGCCAATCTTTGATGGCTGTAACCTTCTTCACATCCATGCGTATTATCTTTGATGGCTGTAACCTTTTTCGAATCCATGCTTATTTTGCCTTGTTTGATGATGTGACCAAAATAGCTGATAGACGTTTAAGTGAATGAGCATTTAGACTGTTTAGCATAGAGTTCATTCTCTCGTAGCCGATTGAAAACCAGTCTCACATGTTCCTCCCATATCTCGCTATAGATAACTATGTCGTTCAGGTACACCATTACAAAATCGTCCAAGAAATTGTGAAGTACCTGATTCATCATCGTACAAAACGTTGCTGGAGCGTTTGTTAAGCCAAAATGCATCACTTTGAATTCAAAGGTCCATATCTTGTGGTACCACTGTAGTCTTTGCTTCATCTCCCTATTTAATCCGAACTTGTCAGTATCCAGACTTGAGATCAATCTTTGTGTAGTATCTCGTCCTGCTCAGTCGGTTGAAGCAATCGACGACCAGCGGAATAGGATAACTATTCTTTACAGTTATCTTGTTCAAGGCTCGATAATCGTAGCACATTCTAAGAGAACCATTGGCCTTTTTCTGAAACAACATGGGAGCTCCATATGGTGATTTTGCAGGCACGATAATCTCACTTTCCAACATTTTTCTCAATTGTTTTCGAAACTCTTTAAGCTCCAACTAAGACATACGGTAGGGTGCCCTATCAGGAGGTTTGACACCTGGAATAAGTTCAATCTCACGATCAATTGCCCTCATTGGTGGTAATTTCTTTGGTAACTCATCTTGCATGATGTCCACAAATTCCTTAATAAGCCTTCTAACAGGTTTTGGAATAGAGCCAGTCGTCTCTTCAATTTAATCGAAGAGTGCATAAAAATGAGGGTTCATTCCTTTTTAAACCCTTACCAAATTGGATGGCCAAGAAACTCTTCTCGCCTACTTTCCCAGCTTGTATAGTAATGACGCACGGTTTACTACCCATCATAATTAATGAATCGGAATATGGTAATACTGTTGTCTTAGTAACTCGAAGAAATTTCAATCCCAAAGTAAGCTTGAAGTCATCCATTGGAATTTGCAGACAAGTTTGTCCTTCCCTCGAAAGGACCCGCTTTGAGCAACACAGATTTCGCTACTCTAACTATTGGTTGAGCAGCAAAGTTGATTTCTTTGACCTTTCCACTACCTTTCTCCAGAACAAGTCCGAGTCGCTTCACTTCGGTACTTGCGAGGTAGTTGAGGGTAGCACCAGTATCTATCATAGCCGTGATTGGCTTTCCATTGATTTTCACATCAATGTACATAAGGCCTTTGGCCCTATAAATGCGAGTCTTCGATTCTTCAATCTTTACCTCTTTCGAGGGAACATTACCATTTCCAATAGCTCGGTGCGATAGTGTATGCATCGATGTGAGAATGAGCCAACTACATCCTCATCCTCTTCCTAATCGGTATCTCCATGACAGCTAGCTTGTGGGACATCTTGATTTGAACTCATTCCGCAACTCGCTACTTGACAGTATGCATTTACCATCCATTTCTAAGGACATTCCGCCACCCATGGGGTCCTTCATATAAAAAGAACATCAATTTAGGAGTGGTAATAGATCCGCCTTCCATTGCTTTTCCTTTATTCCAGTTGTTATTACTGCTACTATTATATTTTTTTGACGACTGTTTTGATAGTTTCTCTGCAAGTTACTTTGACGGGTGCTTTGATAGGCTCTTCCCTTATTATGAAAGTAATGCTTTTCCCCATTTGAGTTCGAGCTGGGTCTGTTTCCACCTCCAATAGCTTGACTATTTTTCGAAAGTCGATCTTTTCTCGATTTCGATTGATAGTCACTTAAGCATTCGGCGGCTCCCATGGTCGCGCTCAAGTCAGTAACCTTCTGTCTTTGAAGTTCAGTGTGTGTCCACAGTTTCAACCCTTCTATGAAGGTGAATAACTTATCATTTTTCGACATATTTCGAATATTCAGCATATGTTCTGAAAAGACTTTCACATAATCTCTGATGGAGCTTGTATGTTTTAGTTCTCATAGTACCCGATATTCCACATTTTCTAGGAAATTGCGATCTGATCGCTTATTTGAAAAGATCACAAGAATATATCCGGACCCTATTGGCTTGAATATCAGTATACTTTGTCTGCCACCATAGTTTTGCATATCTACCAAGATACGTGGTAGCTGTTGTAACCTTTCTTGCTTCGTCTTCAATCAAGCCACAAGAAAGTATTGTTTCATATTAAACAAGAAGTTCTCGACTTCTTTTGTATCTACCCCTTCGTAGGTACATGGTTCCGAAATTTTGAGGCTGAGAGCATACTCTCGTGCGGGGGCTTGTCCATTGCTAACCGCACGTTGAAAACTAGTAATTGAGATCTCAACACTTCCATTTCATCCTATAGATCAGGCATGATTGCAACAGTTTCAGTCATTGCTGTGCAAGCCCTTCGACTTTCACCAAGTTGGATGTGTAATTCACGAATTTTCTTCTCTGTCACCTCGACTTTTTCCTCGAGGTCCTCCACGGTATAGCACAACCTAGTAGTTGTCACCTTAAGCGCATCTACGCGTTGTTTCATATTCTTCTTTTGAGGATCTATGACTTTTGTGGTGTTTGATGTAATTGGATCCATAGCTTTCTTATCGAGGGTCGTGAGCCGCAACTCTGATACCAACTTTCAAGGGATGCCTTTCTTCTTAGCACAGAAAGAGACATCGTGCGGTAGTAGTCTACTCCGTTAGACTACCTTCCGCTTTCTTTTGGGACGAAAAAAAATTTGATTATAATTTGTAGAAAGCTTGCAACATAAAATTGAGATGCATTGAACGTAAATTGATCATCGAATGCTTGAAATCTAGAAATTACAATTGATGAAAGCAGGAAATTACAATGACTGCTGCTTGGGGCGAACACCAGAAAGGTTGGAAGATTTTGAAAGACTAATACCCCCCATAATAGTTTGCGGAACAAAAACTTAAGAGAGGGGAGTAAACGTTTAAATGATGAGGAATCATACTAAACGTTTACCAAAATCAGAACTATTTCATAATTAAAATAAACTATTACAATGGAAAGGAAATTACAACTCAAACTTGAACTAATATTTACAATGTACGGTCAAAGTTGGGCAAACTGCGGCTACGATTGGGTCAAGGGGTTTAAATAAAGATGTGGTCCTTGACACTAGGTCGTGCCTTGCCATCAATATAGAATATATTGGACAGATTTCTAAACGTAGTCAAACGAGAAGGATACAGTTTACTCAATTCAATGTGACATGATGTAGAAATATAAATTTGATTTGATGAGGTATTGTGACCTATCAAATTGAACTAATATTTGACCAATTCCAACTCTTGGAAGAGAGATGGAACTCAGTACAACATGTAATAAATTTAAGCTTCTAATAAATCTAATGACATCAAAACAAAAGAAACCTAAATTACTTATTTTTTATAAAATAGGTGTTGAATTTTAGTAGGTCTTCATTGGGGTTTCCATTAGATCCCTACAATCAGGTTTCCTATTGACCAAGTTTTGAGCACCAGATCTTGACATCTGCAGATACGATACTTGAATGCATCCAGTTATAGGATGAAACACTTGAGCTACTTGTAAGGATATCCTACCAAACTCTGATTACCCAAAATCATGTTCTTGAAGCAACTGTAATTGAACCTTTAAAATTCAGTTGTAATAATTCTTTGTGCTGGCTAATTTAGATGTCTCTGTTGTGGGCTACAAAAGGGACGTGTTGCGCTTTCAGATTTCCGTTAGTAATTGGATGAGAAAGTTCAAGATTATGCACATGATGTATAGCATCTTTAGTTATGGATATACTTCAGAAAGTTCATTGTGGTCCATACTTGAAACAATGTACAGTCTGTGCCAACTAATACTGTTTCTATACACTAAAGATTTTCAGTAAATTGCTCGACTGCATTGAAGTTCAAGTCTATCGCTTTTGGACCTGAATCAAACTCTGTCAGGCATTTACTGTTCAAATCGAATGTCTCCTTTGATCCAAATTTTATCAATTGTTCATGACTTCTGTCCCCTTCTGACCTTTTACCTGATGGTTGCACAAAAGAATTGCCATCATATATATTACTTCTGTTCCTTTTCGTATCGCTAACTCGATCTTCTAATCCACTCTTTTCTGTAGGATGCATTTCCATCAGTGAGAGCACAACGTGATTCCTCTTCCTAGAACAGGTTTCGGAAACTTTAGTCTTCTCATTGTCATCAAAGTCAAGCGTCGGACAAGTTTCTTCCTCTCTGCCCGAGCTCTCAGATGATGTCAAGGAACTCTCGAGCGAGCATCTGGTATGTCTTGGTATATCCTTAGAATCTTTTAAAAGTAAGCCTTCACTCTCTGTCAAAACGGACACTGAAGGACTTAGACACCCAGTGTCAACCATTGCGACTAACTGAGAAAGTTGAGCTTTTGCTTGTTCGACTTCAGTCGAGGAAGCACTATATCCAGCAAGTGTTTCCTGTGCTTTCTTCAAGACAGATTGTAAGTACTTTCCTTGTGCTTCAATTCTCAGCTGCAAATGTCTTTGCACCTGGAATATGCAGAGACAAGAAAATCCTGCTTAATCAGAATATGCCCTTTTCACCGACAATCAAGATTGTGTAATCGTAGAATTTAATACATGTTTTACCTCAATTTGTTCATGAAGTTTCCTCTGCACCTCTATTTGCACTTGTAGTGCCTGAGCTATCTGCAAACTTTTAATAAAACACAACCCTAAATAAGTGAAAATTCCTTCATCCATTCAAAGTTATCCAATACTCTTGGAAACTATTTATAAAAGCTATTACTCATTAGTCTGATTCTGCTCTCCATCATAATTCTTGCTAGTGATGGAACTCTGATTATCTCTGTAGTCTGCATCGAAAGACATTTTCGTTAGTTTCCTTCATTCATACTTTTTCATGATATCGTAACTTAAGTTAATACTGCTTACTTTCTTGTTCATCATCCTCATAATAGGATTGTGATTGTTTATTCTTTCCCATCCTATATTTCTGCAGCAAAGTACATTTTGCCCATCAAAAATCCCTCTAAATATGACGTGCAAGAAACTAGAATATTGTCGTATATAAACAAGAAACATTACCTGTAAATGGCTCTTGAGGTGATACAAAGTGAGTCCGTTAACGCCCATCACCCTCATTACGGATTTCGGTGTAGCCTCTGCATTGAAGACTCACAACTAGTATCAGAATACAGAGAGACTAAGTTTACACAGATAAATTTAACTGAATCAGAAACTTCTATACTCAACTATTTGCACCTCCAAGCTGATTAACTGCATCAACAAATCTTTCGTGCAGTTCTCGAGTCCATTTCAGTCTCGGTTTCGCATCACTGGATAACACCAAGCTCATCTCTTTAATACGAACGTTCTGAAGAGTTATTTCTCGTTTTTTATGAGAAGATTGAAGCATAAGAAAGGGTGTCTACTTCCTTTGAGGTTTTTTTTTTGGCTCAAATATGTGGCAGATGTTATTCTCTTTATAATTGTGGAGTTGTTGGGAGGTATCCTGTGTTCTCACTCCTTATCAGGAAACATAAGTGGGGTTATGTAGGGGGAATATATTCCATGAGCTGTTCCCCCATTCCTTTCTACCATTTCCCATTTCCTTTATTTAGCCCCCCGTTTGCGTCACGTTAGAATTTTTATTCTCATTTTCAACTTCACATTCGTTAATAAAATAAAATAATAATTTCCATCACATCAATAATTTTTTCTTCTTTTTAAAACACACATTCTCCATCAATCTACTATTTCAAAATACATTTTTCCAAAATAATGTGACTCAAACACACCCTTAAATTTCCAATTTTTTTTTTTTTAAAATATTTTCTTTTTTTTTTTTT